AATTAAGAAAATCAACTAGAAATTTCAAATCAGCAATATTAATAGAAAATCTATGAAGATAAGATTGAAGTTCAAATTTTCACCTCGAAATCCACCTCGGCCGCCACCGCCACGTCCCCCACGACCACCTGAAACTGATATTTTCATCAACAGAACGAAATGGGGCTTCTCGTCCTGGAGGGACTCTCGCCCCAAAAGTTCCCCCAAAAGAAGCACATGGCTAAGTTTCCGCCGTGAAATTTACATTAAAGAAAAATATGAAACAAAAACCATAAACATTCAAATGCGCCAAAACTTACCGCGTCCTGGACCACCACCACGAGTTTGCCCCCGTCCACGTCTGGTAGCTCCGTTTGGAAGGAATCGTTCGATGGGTAACAGTTTGTTTGGATCAATGTACAGTACCTGATCTTGCTCAAATGAACTAGCCTTTAGGCCACTGGCCAATTTCACTGTGAAACCCTGAAATAATTTCACATATTTTAAGTTTTTTATACTTTAATTTTTACAGATTTTTTGTATTTTACAAATCTTTTATATTTTATATTATACTTCATCATATAATTTCTCTATTATTTCAATTCCCATAATTCTTACAGTTTATATTTTGTTGTGTAATCTTTCCATTAGTATTTTATACTTTTTATTTGAAAGAAAAAATAATGTAAGGGAAGGAAGAAAAGGGAAAAAGCACAAAAAAGTCCTAAAAACAAAAAAAAATTTCTTTTTTTTTTTTGTATTTTATACATATCATCATCAATATCTCTTACTTACGCACCAGAAAAAAAACATACCACAAAAAATCTCTTACACATACAAGAAGATATACTCACATTATCTTTTAATCCACCAAAAATCTCGTCCACACTGCCAATTTGTTCTTTGTTATCGAAAAATATCCTCGCATTGAAATGTGGAATTTTCCCAGAAGTATTATGGCAGACAATGTCGTTTTCGCATTTATGCGTAAAATAGCCCACCTCTGCAATACAAACACACACAGGAATAGAGCGAAATACAATGGTACCATTGCAAAATCTGACATTTTGGCTCATATAAATACATCGACAAAAATACAAATCGATTGCATGGGTTGTAGGATTTCGGAAGGCGCCGAATTCGCCCTTCCAGTTGAAGGGACACCTTTTTTCACCTATTTTAGCAAAGAAGCGCTCAAATTTTCCCTTTTTTTCCAAACAAACGAGGTTTAATTTTCGTCTAATTTAGCCCCGCCCCTTTCCAAAGCTATTTATAAGTAACCCAAAAGCAATTTCGGCTTACAGACATATGCCATTACCATTTTACCATCGAAACGAATGTACAAATCGCAGAGGGACCCCCTCCTTTCGAAGGCTATTTATAAGTTAATGGAAATTTTAGCTCACAGACATATGCCAGTACCAATTTACCATCGAAACGAATGAACGAATCATAGAGAAACTGACTGTCTCACCAAGCG